TGTTGGTGTCTGTGCCCTTTCTGTCCTCTCTTCAGTCGTGGAGGCTGTTGGTGTGTGGAAGTTTTGGTAGAGACCGTCAGGTCCAGGTGCGTGAAGGTCGATCTCTCTGGGATGAGCGTGATGCTTGACCCAGGGGCGCCCATCGGGGTGTGTGAGCCTGTGGGGGTCGGTGACTAGTTGAGGCTGGAGGTCGATGAGATCTCCAGAATCCGCGCGGCAGTCTGGGATGTCGAAGTCCAGAATGTAAACGCCGTTGTCGGCGCGTGCCTTTCCGATGTAGCGTGGTTTGACGGCAGGGCGACTATGATCCTTCCAGTGCATTAGAATGCACCGTGTTTCTGGGTCTGTTGTCATGAGCACGCCGCTGTTGACGAGCTGTTCGTAGGACAGGAGGTTGTATCAAAGGTCTCGTACGATCAGTACGTCGTTGAGCGTGATGTGGATGTCGCTGCCGTGTGCTTTGAGAACGACGATGCCGCATGCGCGTGCTGCAAGCTGCTGATTGTTCGCAACAGTGACGACGGTGGGTTCCGGAATAGGTCGTGCGTTGGAAATGAAGCGCTTGGACCCCACCATGTGCTGCCCGAAGCAGCTGTCGAGGTACCATGTGTTGTAGGAGTCGGCGCGATGTTGCGCCGAAAGTGCGAGATTTGGGGTGTTGCGGAACGGAATGCGTTTGTCGCCAGCAGCGCGGTAGGTATCGACAGGCTGAGTGTCGATGTTGTGTCCAAAGTAGTAGTTGGTGATGGTTGGCGATTTGAGAAAATCTTCGTCGTGTGGTGGCGATTCGAGCAGGGGTGTCGGCAAGTCCCAGTCTTGCTCGTGTTCGTCAGAGACGAACTCCCCGTCCTGTATAAAGGGGTTGTTGTAGCCTGTGAATTGAACCTCTTGTCCAGGAGGAGGAGGAGAGACGTATCGGAGATGCCTCCGATTGGTGCGCAGAGTGCGGCGGTGAACGCGCATCGCCATGTTGCCCATGACATGACGAACGGTGTTGTTGTTGTGTGGCGGCGGCCTTTGTGAGTCAGGCTGCGGAGGTTGGCGCGGGGCGGACCGATGGTCCGAAGACGGTCGGTTGGCCTGGTGCGTGTGATCGAGACCGTAGGAAGGGTTGTTGCGCGGCGCGGAGTCGTGTCGTGGTCCGGATCGGCATCGTTCTGTGGAGTGGCCGAAGACTTTGCAATGTTTGCAGTAGTATTAACATGGGCGTGAATCGCGATTTCGTCGTTGGTCGCGATTGGAGTAGAAGGCGATTTGATCGCGGCACGTCCCCTTTTCTTGGTTAAAATCCATGCCTTGTTGCTCGTGCAGTAGAGTGGCGCAGAGATGCGCTTATGAGATTATGCCCTGTTAGCGAAGTAGGGCTTTGCAGGGGGTCCACTAATGACCCAAGCCTCGAAGAACAATTGTGACAAACATGTCTTCGGGAATAGAGTTGCCGAGCTTAAGGAGTTGATCGCGGACACTGCGGCAACGGTTGATGTAGGAATTTGCCTTTTCGCCAGGTGGCATCTTAACTTCCATGATTTGCTGGAGCAAGCGGCTAGAGGAGACGGAGTCCTTGGGCTGGTAGGTTTTGGTAAGGTAGCTCCAGGCGGCCATGGCGGGAGCTGGATGTGTTTTGAAGGGGCGAATGCCGAGCTGTTCGGCTGGCGCCATGTTGCGAAGGAGAATGCTATATGCCATGAGCGACTCAATGTAGTACTGAGCTTTCGCGTCATCAGTGTCGCTGGTGGGGCCAGCGTAGCTTCCGTCGAAGTAGCAGAAGATTTGTGCACTTTGAGGAGTAGTTCGAGCTCGAAGCTCCAGGTGTAGAAGTCTCGCCCGTTAAAGACGGTGCTAGTACGATTCTTTAAGTTCGTCAGAAACTTGTTCTGAGCTGCGAGCATGGCTTCGTCACTTGGACGGGAAGCGGTTGGAGCGGAAGAGTTCGACCCGAGGTCGAAGGTGGTTGGGCTCGGTTCCTTGCTTGGAGCGGCCGGTTGGTCGGGATGACGCGAAGTACCCGGGTTATTACTCTTCAAATGTTGAATTCCTGATTTCAGCGTAGTGATTCGTTGGATGAGTTTCTCTAGCAGCGCATTGCTAACGGTGGTGTTGCCCGCAGAGTTCGCGGTAGGGTTGGCGGGGGCTTCAGCAGTGGGAGCTGCTTGTCCGCCAGATCCTCCAGCCATGTTTCGGCGGGAGCGCATACTGGACGCCACCTTGATTTTGAATTTGAATCAGAGGTGGTAATGCGAAGAATCCTGAGTGGCTCTCATACCATGATACAATCTGAACCGTCTTATAGGATCGTCCCAGATTGATCGCACGGGGTGTAGCGGCGGAAGATTGCTTGGTAATGTCGGGTACGGACTCTGTCAGAAGAGGGAGATTTGAATCTCGACAGAAGTGACTAATACAATGCGGTACAAGGGTTTATATATGAATACAATGGAATTCGAAAGGTCCTAGCTAGCCATGTACTCTGAGGGGGTACATTCCCCTTAGGGCTAATCTAGATGCATGATTGCAACCGTGCGGTTCGGTAACCGTACGCGGTTCGGTAACCGTTTGAAGATTTCCCGCGCTTTGCACTTCGAATTCTTCCTGCTTGTAACTGTCTTCGATAACTGTCTTGACACTCGGTCTTCGTCCTCGCTGCAGTCATCTTCGCGTTAAGGGTTCGTTACTTTAGGAATGTTTATTCAACTATTCCATGTCCGTAACACGCGGGAAGCATCTCATCGTGTACGTCACGTACCTGAGACGCGATGAGATCGTGATGGAGTTTCTCTCCCTGCTGACAGTCGTGAAGGCAGACGCCGCAAGTCTTCAAGACGTGATGCTTACGCATTTGCACACGATCGGCCTGACTGCGCGAAAATCGTCGGGATAAGCACTGATGGAGCTTCGGTCGTGACTGGGGAGCACACTGGCCTCGTGGGACGTCTCCACGCGAAGAACCCTTACCTTGCATCATGTCACTGCATAGCCCATCGGTAGGAAAAGGCATTTGTAACATGAATGTCTTGTGCAATGATTCATGCATCACTTATCTCTCTAATTATTGAACCAACTAACATGATTGCTTGCCTTTCGCAGAGAGGTGCTTGCCGCCAAGGATGTTGCGACCAAGCTGCCGGACTTTGAGATCGTTGACAAGGGAGTTCAGACGGTGTCGACGATGTTGTCGCAGAGCTCCAATCACCACAGGCGCTTCCGCCAACTTCAAGAAGTCGTCTGCGAGACGAACCTCGAGTTGCGGGGCATTCATGCCGTGCGTTGGCTATTACGTGAAGAGGCGGTGAAGAGGTTCGCGAAGGTGCTTCCGGGGACTGTTCTCTTGCTGCACGAGAACAAGCATGCGATGTACGAGACCTGCACGTCGTTCAAAATTCACTTTCTAGTCTACTTCCTTGCAGACTTGCTGGCGATCCTGAACGAGTTGAACACCGAATTCCAGAAGCTTCAGGTAATGTTGTTTCTATTTTGCAGGCCGTCTCGGTAACCTGAATAAAAATCTCAACGAGTAACATTGTTTTGTGTCCTTTTTACCTTGGCAGGTGGACATTACAGTCGTCGCGAGTGAAGTCTCACTGGCGTGTCGCACCATCGAAGTCCGTTACATCGACTGTGAGGAGTCATTCGGCAATGGACAATCCCCCCTGCTGAACGAATTCCTCTAGAAGCACGCAAATCCGCAGCACCGAGAGGTAGCGGTGTAGGGTGTAGACAAGAATGATGCTCCGGCTGTCCACGTGTTCGAACTGCACGAGCGCCCGATCGCATGTCAAACCAGTGGGGACGACTACTACTCGTGCAAGAAACTCTGCCAGGACTACGCACGTGAGGTGAAAGGACGCCTGGAGTACCGTCTGGAGGATCTGGAACATTTGAATGGCGCCAAGATCTTCCGTCCGGCCATGTACCCGGGAGACAAGAGTCAGCGCATGCGCAAGTGTCGCGAGTGGCTGGGCCAGCTCGACAAAATGTTTCGCCACTCACTTCCAGGTACCCGTTCAGGATCCTAGTTGTATTGTGCATGTCCATTGCGCTTCCACGAACTGTCGTATTCATTTTCAACTCTTTGACCCCCAACAGGTGTGCAGTTCAGGGAGTGCGAGAGGGAGCTGGTACTGTTCCTGCACACCATGGACAACAACCACGGGGCGTTGAACTTCTACAAATCGCTGACCCTGATGCTGCAGTCAACAGATTATGGGGGCTGCATACCCGAACATGGTGCGCTTGTGGCAGGCAGTGGCAGTGCTCCCGTTGAGCACTGTTGAGTGTGAGCGCGGTTTCTGCCGACAACACCGCATCAAGAGCTATACACGTACCAGTTTAGGAGATGCACGAGTGGGGAATTTGATGACTTGTGCGCTTCTCCCATCGGCAGATGTGAATTGGACGAACTTAACGGCGCTCTTTCATGGTCTCAAGAAGCGCCGCCCAGCTGGAGATTTTGTTGTTAATGATGTTATGTAGGCATGTATGGTAGCCGTAGGTTAGGAATAGTATAACGCCCTAGGAATATTGTTTAGTATAACATTACCGTAGTTCACAAAAAAAACAAGATTTTTAGCATACCACTGATAAGGAAAAGTAAAATAGTCCTAAACCCTTACCAGAAAAAGTGCATTCCGTGGAACACACTGACAGAAAAAAGTACTTTAGAGACGGTGGCCTTGCGTGAAAGAGCACCCAGAATCCTAACCAGAGCCCTGACAAGAAGCCCACACGCAAGGCCAAGAAGTCCTTCACTGTTGGAAGGCGGCAACTGTTTGTTAGCACGGTCGGGAAGGACTGTGCCAAGCATGGCATGAAGCTAGCGGTGGGTCGAAATGAAGTAGTAGTGTTTTCCAATATGACTTGTTGAGGAAGCTTGAATTGTTTCGTAGGTCAGGCTGAGTCAGGGTTTCAGATTGGGTAGAGTCACCCTGATCCATGAGTGTCCTCTAGGAATGTTGTTTTGAAGGTGAAGTTTTGTAAAACCCTCACAACTAGTCATGGAGTGTTCAATGCAGTCCGATATTAGACCGATGAATCAGCCTACACCACAGAAAAACGCTGAGGAGTCTGCGTACACACTAAAAATCCCTGCTTCATCTTTGTACTCGGTAGTGAGCTTCATGTTACTTCCTGAAATGTACATTGCCATTTTCCAGTGTACCGACTTTGAGAATACCATTTTTGGGAGTGTACAGAGTGGCTAAACAACCTAGTTTTGCATTTATACGGGTAAACAAAGCAACATGCCAATCCACAACTTAGTTACAGAACAATCATATCCATTGTTAAGCTCCCTAAACATGTCAGCACTGCGGCGGTATCTCTTAACGACCAACATGCCGCATGTGTCTCCGCGCTTCACACTGTACATGCGCTTGGTCGAACACGAAACGCCAGAGAGTGGCCGGGCGTCAACAGCAGCCACACAAATCTGAGAGTCAATCATCAGTTTGAACGGGATGGAAGGGAAGAAAAATACCTGCATAAGATAACCTTAACATATACATACACCCACACAAACACAGACAGACAGACACACAGACACAGACAAAACACAGAGACACAGACAAATACACAGACGTAGACAGACACACAGGCAGACACACAGGCAGACACACAGGCAGACACACAGACAGACACACAGGCAGACACACAGACAGACACACAGGCAGACACACAGACAGACACACAGGCAGACACACAGACAGACAGACAGACAGACAGACAGACAGACAGACAGACAGACAGACAGACAGACAGACAGACAGACAGACAGACAGACAGACAGACAGACAGACAGACAGACAGACAGACAGACAGACAGACAGACACACAGACACAGACAAAACACAGAGACACACAGACAAATCCACAGACGTAGACAGACACACAGACAGACACACAGGCAGACACAGACAGACAGACACACAGGCAGACACACAGACAGACAGACAGACAGACAGACACACAGACAGACAGACAGACAGACAGACAGACAGACAGACAGACACACAGGCAGACACGCAGACAGACGCACGGACAGACACACGGACCGACAAACAGATGGACGGACGGACGGACGGACGGACGGACACATGTACGCATGCAAGGACGCGTGCGCACAAACCATACACAGGCCATGCAACCCAACTCACCCGACTAATCACATTGCCCTGCGTGGGGCTGTAAGGCAGCAAGGAGTCGCATGAGAGGCCGGGATTCATCTGGAAGAAGCGCGTGGGGGAGGCGATGCCAAACGCCCGCCACAGCTGCTGGCAGGACTGCGGGCCCTGGAGCACCCTCACGAGCGCGCCTTGGTTCATGTAGTCGACTAGGGGAGGGGGCGGCTGAGGGCTCGGAGGCGGTGTGGCTGGGGTGATTTGGACAGCGAGTTGGCATGCTACGCGGGTTTTTTCCAACTCTAGCCACGTCCGGTTGAAGTTTACGCAGAGGAGCTGTGAAGGGGGGAGGGGGGAAGAGGGGGGAAGGGGGGAGAGGGGGGAGGAGGGGAGGAGATGAGGGAGAAGGGTGGAGAGGCATGTGTGATTTGGGCAGACACTTGGCATGCTCCGCGGGGTTTTGCCAACTCTAGCCATGTCCGGTTGAAGTCCACACAGTGGAGCGGTGAGGGAGGAAGTGTGGGGAGAGGGGGGAGATTTGAGGCGCCTCAAGAGTGAGGGGGGAGGGGGCGGAGAGGATGTGTGAATACGTGCCCAAATTTGTGGACTTTGAGTTCTGACTGGGGTACGCACTGAGGGGGGAGAGGATGCTACGCGGGTTTTTCCCAACTCTAGCCACGTCCGGTTGAAGTCTACGCAGAGGAGATGTGACGGAGGGAGGGAGGAGGGAGGGAGGAAAAGCGGGGAGATGGGGGAGAAGGGCGGAGAAAAGTGTGTGATTGCGCGCCCATTTTTGTGGACACCTCCTGCTAGGGGCCTGTTTATGGCGAAGGTATATACCACAGTTATTGAATAAAGGGTCTTGAGTCTACTCCTGTCATACACGTTGCAATAATTTGCCCCCATTCTTGGATTTTGATCTGATAATCTATTTTAGGTAATATTTTGGATTTACGACCGGACTACACTGTGTGCTGCGACCTGCACTCATCTGCACTCATCTGCACCAATCTGCACCCACTTGCATCTGCACCCATCTGCACCCATCTGCACCCACTTGCATCTGCACCCATCTGCACCCACCTGGCCGGGCCTGGGCCCATCAGAGCAGCTGAGGGCGGGGTTGAGCGGCTGTATGCGCGTGGAGAAGAGTGCGTTGAGGGAGTCACACGAGTCACCCTGCAGGCACAATGGCACTTACATAAACGCACTGGTGCTTACAAGTTACATAAACGCACCGGCACTTGGATAAACGCACTGGCACTTACATAAACGCAACGGCGCTTACATAATTAGCAGTGTACATGGAAGTGCATTGGGAGTAAGCCCGGCTGGTGATGTTGATTAGAGTTTCCACAGGGATGGGCGCTCGGCACTTGAAGCCCTGCAGTCCAAACAAGGCGAGGTGGAGGACAGAACAAGGGGAGAGGAAGGATGGCTTTTGAGTTGACTCAAGTGTGTACATGGAATGGAAGTGCATTGGGAGTAAGCCTGGCTGGTGACGTTGATTAGAGTCTCTGCAGGGATGGGCGCTCGGCCTTGAAAGCCCTGTAGTCAGAACAAGGAGAGATGGAGGATTGGATGGGTTGGGTTAAAAAGGCAGGGAGGATTTGATTGGTTGCAACGTGGGTGGTTGACAGAAAGAAGAGAGACTATAAAGGCAAGTTGGGAAGGAGGTATGGTTTGGACGCTGCGCAATCAGAACAGAACAAGGAGAGGTGGAGGATTGGATGCGCTGGATGGGTTAACGAGACAGGGAGGAAAAATGGCAAGATTGGATGGTTTGTATAAAAAACACACTACAAAGGCAAGATGGAAGGGGGTATGAGTTTGGAAGCTTTGCAGTTGGAACAAAGAGATTGGGACGAGGCAGGCAGAATGGGCAGTGGGAAGAATGAAGGGAAAGTGAGGGGCAGTGAGGGGCAGTGAGGGAAAGTGCGGGGCAGAGAGGTGAAGTGAGAGGAAGTGAAAAGAATCGAGGGGAAGTGGGGGGGCGTGAGGGGGATTGAGGGGCAGTGGGGTAATGAGGGTGGGCAGGTGACCAGAAAAAGGGCAGGTGACAGGAAAAAAGGGGCAGTATACAAGGCAATGCAGTTGTGTGATAAATCTGATGTAACTTGTCTTGTAGTAACCGAAACTGATATCCTTGGTAAGCCTTTCAGACCTTGTTTTGGCTGAAGAAGGCCGCTTGGGTGAGTCCGTAAGTGTTGAGGATGAGAGGGCATGTGAGGCCGTAGGGAGACAGGAAGGTGGGCATTCGCAGCTCAAACGATCGCACTGCATGCATGCACGGGGTGGGCGAGCATGGGGCAGGCAGGCAGGCAGGCATGCAGGTCATTGCAATGCAAAGCAGCAAGGTTGAGAAGACATTTGAGTTGACTCGGATCATCTGACTCAGACGTACCTAAGAGCAGCAGGAAATACAACAAGGTCCTCAGAAGAGTTTTGAGGCACATCAGCATCGGTACACGCGTATTTCATTTTGAGGCGCCTTAAAAGTCACCCCAGGCGCCTCAAAACTCGCCTCAAACTCGCCTCAAAACTCGCCTCAAAACGCGCCTCAAAACACGCAGATGTACATAAGACCAGGAAAATCAAGGTTCGCAGGAGGATGGCAATGGCATGACAAAGTGTTGGTAATGAGCCTCGAGACTTCTCGGAAGTCAATGTTATCAGACGAAACAAGCCATGACGACAAGACAAGTGCTATCAGAACAGAATGACAAGATGAACAGAGCGAGCGTGCATGTGAGAGAGGGGCATGTGAGAGAGGGGCATGCGAGAGAGGGGCATGTGGGAGTGGTGCGTGTGAGGGGTAGGCAGCGAGGGGGCAAATGCATGAGGTGGACATTCGAGGCAGGCGGAAATCAAGGGCTGTGAGAAAGTTGAGCAAAGCAAGTGCTGCTTAAGACTCAGCCACGGCTGTTCCCAGACAGCATTTTCCCTTGGGGGGCAGAGGCAGGTAGAAGACAAGCAAGCAAGAGCGAGTGCTCCCACAGAAATAACAGCAGGCAGTGGCTTTGGGAAAGAAGCCAAAAGGGGAGGAAGGGCGAGGGGCAGAGCGGGGGGGGGCATTTAAGGCGCCTCAAAACAAGACAAGCAAGCAAGAGCGAGTGCTCCCACAGAGGTAACAGCGGGCAGCGGCTTTGGGAATGAAGCCAAAAGGGGAGGAAGACTTATGAGTCGACTCAAAAGTCGACTTGGCATTGGGAAAGAAGCCAGAAGGGAGGAAGGGCGAGGTGCAGAGCGAGGAGGGATGAAATACCCACTCACCTCCGCTTTGGGGGCAAGGGCAGGTAGCAAGTGTTACGCACATTGGTAACAGCGAGCAGAGCCTTTCGAGTAGAAGTAGAAGGCGAAGAAGGGCGAGGGGCAGAGGCAGGAGTAGGAGCTGTCTATGTCATCAATGCACACCCCCGGTGCACACGGGTTGCGAAGGAAATGGCGACACCTGAAGGAATCTGGTGCGGGAGTGGGGGGAAGGGGACGGTGAGAAAATGGGGTAGGGGGGCGCGGGATGGGGGAAAAGGGGAAACGGGAAAGGGGGATGGAGAATGAGGGAGGGGGAGAAAGGGGAAATGAAGAGGTAGGGGAAGAATGGGGAAGGGGAAAGGCGGTGGGTGGGAGGGGAACGAGCGGAAAGGAGAAAAAGAGTTATTGCAGGAGCGTAATAGTTCCTTAAATCACACGCTTTTGAGATTTTTCAAGAGCGAAAAGAAAAGAAATGAAAAGAAAAAGGTAGGTTGATTAAGGAATTTTCAGAATCAAAGGGTACGCTACGCACTTTTGCATTTTCTCCAGAGTGGTGTGGTGAATCGAGAATGAGTGCATGCGTGCAATACCATGTCATCCACAAACAAACCAAAAGGGTACCTACAGCACTCCAACTCTCACCCACCGCACTCCACCTCTCACCTACCGCACTCCACGCCTTGCCTACTCCACTCCACGCCTTGCCTACCGCACTCCACCCCTCGCTCACCGCACTCCACGCCTTGCCTACCGCACTCCACCGCTTGCGGACGGCACTACACGACTCACCGGGGAAGCAGGAGGGCAGGCCGGAGAGGTGAGAGGGTTCGAAGGAGGGGAGATTGAAGGGGCACTTGCAGGAGGGCAGGAGGATAGACGGGTCCCATGGGGCAGGTGCCTTGCCTACTGCACTCCACCTCTCACCTACCGCACTCCACCGCTTGCGGACGGCACTCCACGACTCACCGGGGAAGCAGGAGGGCAGGCCGGAGAGGTGAGAGGGTTCGAAGGAGGGGAGGTTGAAGGGGCACTTGCAGGAGGGCACGAGGATAGACGGGTCCCACGGGGCAGGCGCCTTGCTGCACACGCCCGTTCCACAGGGCAGCACTGGAGAACCTGTGCAGGGGTCAGTGTCTGTTGGGGGAAAGAGGGAGGATGGGAAGGGGGAAAGTGGGAGGATTTGAGGCAGGAGGAAAGAAGTAATCCAGGCGTGAGATGGCAGAGGTGGGTTTGCCTCAGGGTGCGAGCGAGGGGTTACAAGAAACAAGAATCTTCCCTCTCCTCTTTCCCACCTGTGGAGGGGTAGTGTGTGCTGTGCAGGGGTCGGTGTGTGTCGATGGGGAGGGTGGGCTTTTGAGAATTTTCGAAAGACGGGAAGTGTTTGCTGTGCAGGGGTTGGTGTGTGTCAATAGGGAGGATGGGAACGGAGAGTGGGAGGGTATTTATTTTTGAGGCGCCTAAAAAACAGAAGTATGAGTAGTGCAGGGGTTGATGTGTGTCAATGGGGAGGATGGGAACGGAGAGTGGGAGGGTATTTATTTTTTAGGCGCCTAAAAAACAGAAGTATGAGTAGTGCAGGGGTTGATGTGTGTCAATGGGGAGGATGGGAACAGAGAGTGGGAGGGTATTTATTTTGAGGCGCCTAAAAAACAGAAGTATGAGTAGTGCAGGGGTCGATGTGTGTCAATGGGGAGGATGGGAACGGAGAGTGGGAGGGCGGGAGGGTGTGGGGCGGGAGGAGAGAGGAGGCCCCAGCACGCAGGTGCATTCGATTTGAGCACCACGGATGGAACATGACGAGGGAATGCAAGGGGATACGTGGGGGTGGAAGGGGATAAGTGGGGGTGCAAGGGAATAAGTGGGGGTGCAAGGGGATACGTGGGGGTGCAACGGGATACGTGGGGGTGCAAGGGGATACGAGGGGATAAGTGGGGGTGCAAGGTGGTGGGTGGGGTTCCGTGGGGATATAGGAACGAGAATCCTTCCTCCCCTCTCCCTATCTGTAAACCTGAAGGTCCAGGAGGAGAGGCGACGGGGGCAGGGCACATAGTTAGCCACCCCTCTCTCAGTCCTTCCTCCCCTCTCTCAGTCCTTCCTCCCCTCTCTCAGTCCTTCCTCCCCTCTCTCAGTCCTTCCTCCCCTCTCTCAGTCCTTCCTCCCCTCTCTCAGTCCTTCCTCCCCTCTCTCAGTCCTTCCTCCCCTCTCTCAGTCCTTCCTCCCCTCTCCCTACCTGTAGACCGGAAGGTCCAGGAGGAGAGGCCAACGGGAGCAGCCTGGCAGGGCACGTGGCTTGCTACCCTTTCTCTCTCTCCCTCCCCCCCATCTCGCCCCCTCGCCTCCCCCTTACCTGTAAATCTGAAGGTCCAGGAGAAGAGGGTGACGGGGGACGGCAGGCGGCCAGGAGGAGGAGGGAGAGCAGCGCTGGTGAACCCAACGAACAGCTGCCCGAAGGATGGCGATGCTGGGTCCGTCACACCGCTGCTGCCACTGGTGTCAGAGACCCCACTGAGAGCAGCACACAGGTCGATAGAGGCCCTCATGATCCCTCTTAGAAAAGGGGGCCGGTACCATCGAAGCACCATCTCCTTGCTGCTCCCGTTATAGTCAACCCTCATCTGCCACACCTCCTCGGGCTCCATCGCATAAGGCGATTCCTTTGCGAAAACCGATGTCATGTTGAAATCAGTGTTAATGCCGACCTGTACAACATTTCTATCGCCTTCTGAGTTTGTTACAGTGCGCCATAACACAGCTACACTCCGCGCGCCGTCCGGCCAGCTTCCATTAGCGAGTCGCGAGGACGGGTCCCGGCCGTACCCCATATAAACCCCGCCTAGGCCCACGCTCGCATGTGTGGTTATAACGAATGCGAGACCTTGAGACGCGGATACATTTATGGAGAAGCCGTATGTGAAGGTGAAAGAGCGGGCCATGCAGGCGGGAGGTTCGGTGAGAGGTTCGGTGGCTGAGGGCTGGGGAAGGGAGGAGGAAGGAGACGAGAGGGGGGATTTGCGAGGACGAGGAAAAGGAGGAGGGAAGGGAGGGGAGGAGGAGGGGTAGAGGAGGGGGAGACGGCGAGGGAAGAAGATGGCTCCAGGGGCGGGGTCGTCTGATTGGCTGGTGGATGCCACGTCGGCAGCGACAGAGAGGTCGGCGGCAAAGAAACGCTTCCTTGTGTTGCCACGTGTCAGCAGGGGAGTGGCTGGCGTGATGTAGGGGAAGGAGAACGAGTCTGCCGCCCAAAACGAAAGCGGATCCTCCGCTGCTGAGGTTGATGACGTGATGTGATGTGATGTGAGAAACAGGGAGAGGAGAGTGCAGGGGAGACAGGGGAGCAGGGGATGAGGGGAAAGAAGGGGGTGAGGAAAGGGTGAAGGTTTGCATGAGGACATCACATCCCGAGTCATGGCATGGGGTTGCCGTGGTAGGGTATAAGCGGAGGGGCGGAACGTGGGGTAGGGTTTCGGAGAAGTAAGCAAGGGCTGAGGGAGTAAGGAAAGGTTAAAAACAGAGGACATGGGAGTGGAAGCACATAGAAAGGACTCTACAAAGCACTGAAAAGTGTGGGCCTTCCCCTCCCTTCTTCTGCCCGGTAGTGCTGCTGCAGGCGAGAACCCTCAGGCCAGATCTACAACAGAGCAGAGCACAGCACAGGCAATGGGGAAACACTTGAACTTGAACTCAACTCCCTCCCCTACTTCGAACTCCCACCCCAGCAGCACCTCATGCAGGCGCGCAACACTGCTGAGGCTGGCACAATAAGAGCACACCTGTAGGTACACCTCATTTCCGCCGAGCTGCTCACAAGCATCGAGCTACTCACTCACAGGGCCTGTGACACAGGCGGTGTGGTTAGTCATGCAAGGGTCATTTCCCCCCAAAAAACGCTCAAAACAGGCATAATGACACCTCAACTCACTCACCCTCCCCGACTTGGAAACTCCATCCAAACGCCTAGTGAGCCTGCGCCTACTCCACCCGCTTGCCCGTGTCCTGCTGCATCCGGATTACTCCCACCGAGCCACTCAACTCACCTTCCCCGACTTGGAAACTCCACCCCAGCACCTCGTGCGCCTGCGCCTGCTCCGCCCCCTTGCCCGTAGCCGCTGTGAAGCCCACAAACAGCGGCGGGGGCGGCGCTGCTGCTGCTGCTTCCGGGTCGTTCCCCCCGAGCCACTCGCAGGTGTCGAGGAATGTGGTGAGGACGGCAGAGCGAGGGAGAGGAGGGGGGGAGGCAGAGGAGGAAGAGGAAGAGGAGGAGGAGGAGGAGGAGCAGGGAGGCAACAGAGGGAAACCAGGGAAGCGAGGGAAGCAAGGGGTGGGGCGAGGGGACGAGCGGGGAGCGGAGGAGGGTGGGGCGGGGGAGAGCCAGACGGTGAGCTGGGAGGAGGAGGCGTTGTATTGGATGGTGGCGAGGAGGGTTTGACCGGCGTTGAGGGAGGGGATGCCGACGGGGTGCACGGGGGCAGAGGCGAGAGAGAGCATGCTGCCATCCACGTTCACCCCCACGTGGTGCTCCTGCCGGTCCCAGAACTCGGGGGAGGCGCACGTGTCAAACTCCACTGCCAGACTCCGCTGCTGCTGTGGATAGAGGGGTGGAGGGGGAGAGGGGGGGAAGGGGCAGGCAAGGTGAAGAAGTAAGAATGCTGGCGAGCAGTGTCAGTCAAACTCCACTGCCAGGCTCCTGTGCTGCTGTGCTTGGGAAGGGTGGGGACGAGACGGGGCATGTTGAGAGGTACAGATGTTTAACTGCGAGGCCAAAAGTGTCTGAACATCAGAGCAGGAGGGGAGAAGCAGATAAGCTGAACATCAGAGCAGCAGGGTGGGAGAACAAGAGAGCACACGAGCGAGGCTCTCTTGCCAGCTGCTCTATTACAAGAAGAGATCAACCTGAGTTAATGCACTGCTGCCCACCTGCGTGCGTTGCTGCCGCGAGACTCTTCAACTTCCCAAGCCGCCACCTGCGTTGCTGCCCAGGTGAAACACTGAGTTGCTGCCCACCTGAGCTGAAGCGTACCTGCGATGACACTGCTGCGCTGCTGACACTTGAACCATCAACAGCACTAGACGTGCTCCCCGGGGGCAGCAGCAGGCGCCCGTAGCCCAGGGACGGCCCCGGCAGGCCGAGCGTGGGCGTCGGCAGCATCACAAACGCCAAGCCCTCACCGCCCAGCCCCGCGGCGTTGGGGGAGGAGATGCGGAAGGTGAAGGAGGTGGAGAAGGAGAAGGGGCGGCAGGGGGAGGTGGGCGTGGCAGGGGCGAGCAGGGCGAAGGGGGCGGGGTGCAGCGCGAGGGATTCAGCATTCAGGTCGGAGAGCGTGGTGAGGGAGAGCGAGGAGGCCTTGCGGCGAGCTGAGCCGGCTGTGAGGAGCGGGTGGGCGCTGGAGAGGGGCCAGTGGGAGAACGACTTGAGGGGAGAGGGGTCGGCTGCAGGGCAGTGGGGGAGGGGATGGGGAGTGGCGGGGGATGGGGGGGTGTGAAGGGGGGGGAAGGGGGAGGACGAGTGGGAGCAGAAGTGAGTGATGGATTGATCATGCACCGGAGTGGGCTGTGGGATGTTAAAACTTGGCTGTTGAGAGAATGTGTGTGCTGCGCATGCTTTCGGTGTGCCGCGCATGCTTTCGGTGTGCCGCGCAAGCTTTCGGTGTGCCGCGCATTCTTTCAGTGTGCCGCGCATGCTTTTAGTGTGCAGCTCATTAGACATGTGCATTTGGACGAGAAGAGAAGCTAGCAGAAGGGGGGCCAGCGCAGCACAGCTTGTGCGCTCAGCGCATGCTTTCAGTTTAGACATGTTCTAAGCGAGGGGGGGAATGTGCATGTGCATTAGACATGTTCATTAGACATGTACATGTGGAGGAGTTTTACAACTCGGCTCGTTCCCAGTACTCGTCTAGGGACGACTGACGAGTTCGACTCTCCGCCGAAAAAAATCGGCCGAGTCGAGCCGAGTTTTACTCGGCGTGTTTTTTTCTACTCGCTGGAAACTCGCGCATTCGCGCGAGTTTTCTTAGGGACTCGCGACTTTCTTGGGGCTCGGCGAGTTTCGAAAAAAAAACCGTCGCGACATTTGTACGCAGGAGAGAGGGTGTGAATACAGAAGTCAACATCGCGGTTTAGGAATCTAGTTTAAGATGCATCCGTCAAGCAAGTAGTGGGCTAATAGCTATTACTAGCAAGCATCTAGCTCAGACACAGCGAATCGTCGTTGGATAATACTCGCGAAATCTTGGAGAAGCCGTCTAGGAGATTTAGGTCAACTAGATCCAGATATCACTTTCCAATTTTCGGATTTAAAATTGGTTGGGTTTTCTAGATTCTGTGCGGTGGAGGTAGGTAATGAGGGGCGGATTGGTTGGGGACAACATTTTGTTAGGCGAATTTGTGGGATGGGAAGCTACGAAATTCGTTTTCAAGGAGTTGGGTTGGGTGAGGTACGTATTCCAATCCCTCTCCCCACGTTCTACCAATCCAAGGCTGTTTCTACCCATGGCTTTTACCTTTGCCTCCCTGAAATGTCGCATTTGGACTAGTGACGAACAAGTCCGACCCCAGGCCAAAAAACTCGGCCGAGCCCTAACCAGCCGGGTTTTACCCGGCTCGTTTAGTTGCACATGTCTGAAGCGTATGCTTTCAGTGTGCCGCGCGTGCTTCCTCCTGCAATACCTGTGACACACCCGTGACCCTGCCAACCGTTGCTACCTCTCTGACTCACAGCTGGTGGGCACAACAACACGAGGTCAATCAATATCAGTGCTCCCCGCTTCCGACGCCACACCCACTCGCTTTACCATCGGAACGTGCCTACCTCCCCTTCTCAGTCACCTTGGACTGGGAATCCAAGTGGGTCCCAGTTAGGTGCCATGACTTTACATGGCAGCAACTAAGATGTTTAGGTAAAATATTAAGAAAGGTGCTTGCTTGAACGTAGTACCTACCTCCCCCTCTCACTCACCTGGGACTGGGACTCTATCCCTCCTTGCAGCCCACCCCGCAGCGCCTATCACTCACTGCTAGTGGGCATGACAGACACAAGGTCGATAGCAGTGCTCCCCGCTTCCTACGCCACGCCCACTCTCTTCACCATCGGAACGTGCCTAGTACCTCCCCCTCTCACTCACCTGGGACTGAGACTCATATCCCTCCTAGCAGCGCCCCTTCCAGCGCCTATCACTCACTGCTAGTGGGCATGACAGACACGAGGTCGATAGCAGTGCTCCCCGCTTCTGACGGCACGCCCACTCCCTTTACCGTCGCATTCGCTCCCAGCGCTGCTGCCTTTTGAGTCGATTCAAAAGTTCCCGACGCCATGCCCTCTCTCTTTACCATCGTCGCATTCACCCCCGCTGCTGCCCCTGCTCTTGTTGTTGCTCTGCGCATGGAGAGCGGTAGTGTGGGGAACCGGAGCAGCCGTTTCAGGGCGGAAGCAGCGCGGGTAAGGTGCGGATGTAGAGCGGATCGAATCTGGAGGCCCACGGAGGAAATGGTAAAGCCGCTGTTGCTGCTGGTGATTTTAACACTGCTGCTGGTGCTGCTGCTGTTGCTGCTTGTGCTGGTGCTGGTGGCGCCGACGCTGCTGGAGTCACTGCTACTGCTGATAACTATGCTGCTTGTGGCGGCGGTAACACCGCTGGTGGTGGCAAGGGTGGCAGTGCTGCTGTTGATGTTGCTGCTGCTGTTACTGCCTTGCACGCCTCGAATCACCAAGTGCAGCGCCACTCCCCCTGGAGGCACTACCAACGAGGAAGGCGAAGAGGCGGAGGAATCGGGGGGTTCAGGGAGGGGGAAGAGGAGGGGCCCCACTTGGAACCAAGGCAAGGCGCCGGACAAACTCGCACTGCCCCCCCCACACGGCACGCCCACCCGCCACTCCCCCCACACCTGCTCCCCCCCTCCTCCCCCTTCTGCCCCTCCCCCTGCTGCTGCCCCTCCCCCTGCCGCGACGGAAGCGTTCAGCGGAACTGCCAGCAGCAGCACCTTCAACAGCCGCTCCGCCTCCCCTTCCGCGCCCCCTTCCCCCTCCGCGCACAGGCTGGCGCGCGCAAAGAACGAGAGGGACAGTTGGCGCGGGGACTGCTGCTGCTGCGACACGTTGCTCGTCGGCGCCGCGGGTTTGAGTTCGCACAGCGCTTGCGACACGCCTGGGCCGCTGCTGTTACTATTGTTCCCGCTACCATTGCTACTACCGGAAGCGCCGTCGCCACTAGACGACACGGAAATATCAGATGTCAGCCGTAAAAAACGGGACCCGTCAGCTGCCAGTAGTATGTCCGTGACTCCCGCTACCCCGTTCACTATTGACACGTCAGCAGGCGGCGCTGCCCTGTTTGCTGTCGCAAAAGCTTCCGCCAGTGTTGCGCCCGCTGGCGCAAGCGATGTTCCGCGATTTCCGCTACCATATGCGGTGGCTAAGATCTCGTCGCTTAAGAATGCTTCCCCAGGCTCTAACGCGCGCCACGGGAATAAGTACGGCCATGGTTGGCACGACGCGTTCAGCTTCTGGCGACGCCATCCTGTATCGAGACAGCTTGTATCGAAGCTTGGGTTCGAGAGGAGGTTTGAGGGTTCACCTGTGATGGCCAAAGAGGAGGGGGTATAATGGAAGAGAATTGGAGATTTCTAGGGTTATTGAGCAGGAGAGGAAGTGATACAAGGAGCTACGGAGCGCTGCCGCGCACGGCGCGGCTGGCCTGGCCGGCCATGGCGACTAGGGAGAGCGCCGTAGCGAAGAGAGAGAGAAGAGATCAGTAGAAAGTCGCAGCGGAAGGAAGCTAAGCTAGAGAGAAGCCTAGCTTTAGGAGCGTAGATGAGAGTTGAGTGTTGATAGGAGAAAGATCAAGAAGATGATATTGAGATTTGAATAGAAGATGATCCAAGGATGATACAACAAGATTCAGAAAAGCTACTTTATGCTGGGAAGGAGGAAGCGCGGCTCGGAAGAAAAACCGCATCGCCAAGCTTTCAGCATGGCATCTTGGCATAACGCCTCGATGCCATGCCTAGAATCGGGGATAGGAGAGTGTTCTCAGGGCTAGCAAGTAAAAGTTCGGAGCTAGCTAAGAGGTACAACTTCTCTCCCATTTGGAGATCCCATGCATGCTAGCATGGCGAATCCCGACTTGTTACAGGAACGAAACCCTAAAAGATGGAGCTTTGCCAGTTTTTTGGCATTTTGGCGCCGGCGACATGTAGGGCTTGAACGAAAAAAGGGTAGCAGCGTGCACACCGGGAAGCGATCGAAAAGGGGCTTAGACTAGGAGGAGGAGGAAGGTGATAAAATGGCTGGGGGAAGAAGGAACGCGTAAACTGTGGAGATTTAAATACGCTGGAGAGAGAGGGACGAAACTGAGTGAGTAGAGTCCCCGTCACTACAGTTGTGCTTACGACTCGACTACTACTATAGCGACGAAACAGTAAATGGCGGTGATGCCAAGAACGGGAAAGGCGGAGCCTCTTACTTGGATTCGTTAGGTTATAGCAGTCGACGAGACCGTCAGCAACGCGAAGGAAGGCTACGAGATAGAGGAGAATCGTAACCGGTAGGGGAATCGCGACACAGAGAACACTCGCGGCCCCTGGGTGAGCCCGCAATCTGCGGCAAGAGTTGCAACAGTGATTCATCTGCCCAGACACGTCCTAAGAATTATTAATTCCTGAATATACGTTTTTCGATAGGTTGCAAGCGTCTGACGTTTCGGAGCAAGTTCCGGACTGACACTTGCCATTCCGAGTCGCCTATCGCGGCGAGCGTCTTGGGAATGCCCCGCAAAAAGCTATAGTGATCGCCACAGTTGGTACTCGAGGAAAACGTGCGTAGGCATCGAATCGACCTGCTCGGCCTAGGTTGAAATACGTTTGATGAAAGGTGATTCATCTCAGTACCGTACCTTCCCTCCCTCGCGTTGACTATTGCTGCATAACAGTTTCGGAGCCGCGTGCAGCTGTTCGATATGTAAATGACGTCATGGACCTGGTGCCGTTGTCTGACGTCGCGGGTCCAACCAAAAAGGTCGTCTTCGCAACAGTTCCCAACCCAAGCGTTAATTGTCTAAATAGACCGCTCTGGATCGTATCAGGCCTTGTTCGACAGCTTTAAACGTACTCTCCACGCCTACGTTCATTTTGTTGGCCAAGACCGAGATGCTTGGCAGCACCATGTGACTGCTCGAAAATCTCCAATAGAAGTACTGAGCTAGAAGAGTCGAAATCCTGAAACGTAACACACCTTGCTTGTAGTTTACCCTAACCGGCATTAGCAAGTTTCAGATATATTTTATTCCTCCACTATGTGGCACATACGGTAGCTTGGGTACATTCCTGTGTGGACACAAGTGCCTCAATGCCCTTATTTCCGAGTCGCGTCAAAACATTCTGTCAACCTCGCGTCACAAAAAATGAATGTATCGCGACACTAGGCGACCAGGCGAAATGTACAGTTGTGCTAATTTGATTGGTGACACAAATGAATGTACACCCGTCTCTTCAACCGCCGGCAGGGGGATAGTTTCGCTGCGCGGGATTTTTTCCCTCGCGAAATTGGCATTGTCGGATGTCCATGTGAATTGGTCGTGTCGGGCATTTCGAGTCGCGTGCGGTTTTTTTTAAATGACGGATCGATTTGCAATCCGTCAGCGACGTCAGCGCGTTTCACGCTGACGGATGAAAGATGTCAGATTACAATTGTATCTCTAGGCTACAGTAGGGTCACTCCTTAGTGAGTACAACACTTTAGGGTTAGGTTTCCTCTACTTGTACTCACCTCTTGCCCAGTTCAATCATTCATTCCTAGTTCTATTCTTGACATGTTATCAGAGTAGGAACCGTTCCTACATGGGCCCACCGTTCCGCCTAGTGGTAGCGCCACGCCCTACACAGTAGCCAGTGGGCTGGCGCCCCTAGCTCTCACTGTCGCGACCCTTGCAGCACGTGCGCTGCCCCTGCGACCGCACTGCCCCTGCAGCCGTGCTCGCCCCTACGACCGTGCTGCCCCTGCAGCCGTGCTCGCCCCTGCTACCGTGCTGCCCCTGCAGCCGCGCCTGCCCCTGTGGCCCGCGTGCTGCCCCTGCAGCCCGTACGTCGCTCCTGCAGCCCGTACGCCGCCCCTGCAGCCCGTTCACGCTGCCCCTGCAGCCCGTTCACGCAGCCCCTGCAGCCCGTTCACGCTGCCCCTGCAGCCCGTTCACGCTGCCTCTGCAGCCCGTTCACGCTGCCCCTGCAGCCCGCGCGCTGACCTACCGAGCCGCGCGTCGCCTCTGCAGCCCGTCCGCGCGGCCCCTGCAGCCCGCGCGTCGCCCCTGGAGCCCGCGCGCCGCCTCTGCGGCCCGTTCGCGCCGCCCCTACAGCTCGCGCGTGGACCTGCCGAGCCGCGCGTCGCCTCTGCAGCCCGTCCGTGCGGCCCCTGCAGCCCGCGCGTCGCCCCTGGAGCCCGCACACCGCCCCTGGAGCCCGTGCGCCCTGCCCCTGCAGCCCGCGCCCTAACGCAGCCCACGAGTCGCGCGCTGCTGCCTCGCGCGTCGCGCTTTGCTGCAGCCCGCGCGTCGCGCCCTAAGGCAGCCCGTCGCGTCGCGCTCTGCTGCCCCTCGCGTCACGCACTGCTGCAGCCTGCGCCAGCGCCCTGCCCTGCGCCCGCGCCCTGCCCTGCGCCAGCACCCTGCCCTGCGCCAGCGCCCTGCTATACCCTAAATATAATTAAATTGTTTATATATATATATAAAAAAAAGGGCCCTAGGCGCTTCTGCCCTAGGAGCTACTGCCTACTACTGCCCTGCTGTGGCCGCGCGCCGCCCTGCTCTGGCCGCGCGCCGCCCTGCTGCTCTTACTGCTGCTGCTGCTACTCGTGCTACTGGGAGTGGTGGAGGTGCTGCTGGGAGTGCAGGAGGTGCTGCTGTTGCTGTAGGAGCTGGAGGTGCTGGACCTACTCCTGACCGTCACTGTCTGTCATGGCCACTTCCGCGGCAGTTGCTGCGGTCTGGGGTGGACAGCAGCGGGCACTGCTTCTCCCGGACAACCCCACCCCTTAGCAGCTTCGTGAGTGGGTTATTCAGCGAGGTCGTCCTGGTGGTGGAGGTTATCGTTTTGTTAAGACTGCTGCTCTTGGTGCTAGTGAGTCTGCTGCTACTCCAGGTGCTAGTGAGTCTGCTGCCGCTCCAGGTGCTAGTGAGTCTGCTGCAGCTCTAGGTGCCCGTGAGTCTGCCGACGCTCTAGGTGCTAGTGCGTCTCCTACCACAGGTCCTGCCTCAGCTGAGGTCTTGCACACTTTCACGCTTGACTCAGGCGCGTCACGTTGCTTCTTTCGTGATTGCACCACAGTCACACCACTCACAGCACCTGTCCCAGTCTCACTGGCTGACCCCTCCGGGGGCCCAGTAGTTGCGAGAGCCTCCACGGTCCTCCCTTGTCCAGCAGTCCCCTCCGGCTCTCTGTCAGGTCTCCACCTCCCCACGTTCTCGACGAACTTGGTGAGC